TATATATATATATATATAAATTATTAAACTTAAATGAAAATCAACTTTCTTTTACATACCCAAGAACGCGATATGACCACCAGGCAACCATTTAACGGCACCCCAAGCAGCTATTAGGATGCCAATATGATGATATAAATGAAGAAACGTTATTTGGTTCTGTCTTTTTCTAAGTACGAAAAAGATAGTATCCATTAAATCTAGTAGCTTTAGCATGAAATAATCCCAAACCAATATGGTGATCTGTAATAGACAGAGATATAAGTGATAAATATTAATTTTTTTCTACCTCATATAAAACAAATGTAAATATATTTTGTTTTTATTAATACATAAAGTTTATTAATACATAAAATTTTTATAATACATAAACTGTAAAAAATTACAATAGTAATATGTTACTTTCAACTGCATAAAATGACAAACGAATATACTTGAAATTAAATATACTTGAAATTGAATATACTTGAAATTAATAATTTTGAATGTAGCAAAGATCAATTTCTGATTAAGTAATTCTTTTACAATTACCTGTCTTGCCTTTGGTGTATCCGAATAATCGATAGGTTCGCAAAAGTAATTAAATTTTGTAAACCAAAATGATGCCTGAAATGTATAATTACAAAATAAATAGAATTGAAACTTTTGTAAATAAAATAAGAGCCTTGGTCATATTTAGTCGAATAATTATTAAATTATGGATTGCATAATATTTAATTATTTAAGTATACGGGAAAGTAAAACATATGATATTTTTAGGAGTCTCTTTTCTTAAAACATCAATCTTTTTATATTTTTATTAAATTGCGTAATTAATAAAAAATATTTTTAAATTTCTATTAAATTGTGTGAATAATAAAAGAAATATTTTTTTGTTTCATATTAAAACAAATTAGACATTAAATAATTAATTAAAAATGTAATGCTTACTTTGTAAAAGAAATATCCATTTAATAAAATTTGTATCACATTGTATATTTGCATTATCCTGTATAATGTGAAAGGCTGTCTTTTTTCCATGAGTCTCGGTCCAAAATTAAATATAAAATAGAGATAAAATCCAATCAAAGTTAAGCCAGGCCATGGTGTATCAATGAGAAAATAATCTTTTGTACGTGGATCTTGCAATGTAAGTATATAAGTAAAGTTAATAAATATATAAATTATTAAAAAATATGTATTAAATTGTTATTGTATATTATATGAAATGTATTTTAAATAATATTATTTACAAATAATTATTCTAAATTTTTTAAATCAATTTAATATTATCTCATATAATTATTATTAAGCATTTTATAGTTGTGTATAAAATCTGAAATGTATACTGATAATAAACATTTATATAACATTTTTATTGACAAAATTTAAAACATCGCTTTAAAATACTAAATTAACGAATCTAATAGAATAGAAATGAATAAGAAAAGAATAGTAACAAAAATTGCCTTTCAGTGTAACTTATGACTGATTTTTTTTCTAAACTTAGATTTTATTTTTACAAAAGAATAATTTTCTGGCCATCAGTCTACTTGTCCTATTATTATGTTATATGTATATAACATATTATATTATGTAACATATGTGAGGAGAATGTAAAAGTAATAAAAAAATTGAAGCTATGGAAATGTATTTGATAATATTGGAAATGTATATCAATAGTCGTGTTTTAAGCTACTTATTGCAAAAGAGAATGCTCATATATATATACGGAGTGTCTTTTAAATACTATCTAATATTTTAGAAGTTAATTTTTCAGATTATTTTATAAAAAAAAAAATTATGAATATAGTGCCAAAAGAAGAACTAGATAAAACAATAAAATATACAGAAACAATGAAATGATAAAAAATTTATAAAATTATCGATTTTTTAAAATAACATCTGAACATAAAAAACAGTTTTTTTTTAAATAAACAAAAAGTATAATGACAATTGATTCTTTGAATTAGATTCTAAGCCGATTAAAAAATAAAGACAATGCCTTACCAATTTATTGGATCAAATTTTAAAAACTAATAAACAATAAAGAAGGACATATAGGACAAATCGCAGGATGTTATTGTACAATATCTATCAATATTTAATATCTATATCAATATTTAAGTTACATGTAAATATTTCGATTAAGAAAAAAAGATGGAATCATACAATGCTCGATTTCTTGAATGATAAACATGCACGCATACATGCTTCTGTGCTTGCTTTGATGCATACAATGATGTTTGATAAATAAGTAAATAACTATGAAATTCGCAATTATTTCTTTTGATTGGTACATGCAAGGAAATAAGCTATGAAGCAATATAATAAATATAAAAATCATTTATACGGCATAAACGAATTGTAGCATACATTAAAGTAGGCATAATTTAAGCATGCTTAAAAAAATCGAGCATCGATTCCATCTTTATTCTTTATGCAATCATTTTCAGTATCAACAAAAATAAAAAATGTAAATTATCGTTCAATAACCTTTTTTGTTGTATTGAAGATGACTGGATAACAATCGAAACATTTACAAGTAATTTACAAGTAATTTAAATATTGATATAAATAGACATTGTGTAACATACGGTTTAGCCTATATGCTCCTTTATTGTTTATTAATTTTTTTAAATTTGATCCAATTTGCAAGGCATTGTTTTTATTTATTACCTCTATCATCTATGTTATTAATTATCTGTCTTATTAAAAATTTATAAAGTAAAAACGAGATTAATATAGTACATTATTACCCAGAACTGAAGTACAATTAACAGAAGATAATTTGACTTATTGTTAAAGCTATACAAAATGTTTTAGAATACTTGGGATTATTTTTATATGCAGATAAAGCGGACTAATTTGAATTGAAAGTCCTCTACAACCTTTCAATTTTCGCAATAGTTAACGAGTTATTAATTATTAAAAATATTAGCCCGGTTTACCGCTGAATGTAAGTACGGTGAGATGCAGGCGCTCATGAATATGTTTTAAAATTCGATTCTGTCAACTCGAATATCATTTTAATTTTATTGTTTATTGAATATTGAACAAGGAAGAAATTCGAGTTGACAAAATCGAGTTTTGGAATGTGAACGGCTGCATCTCACCTTGTTGTCGGTAGTAAACCGGACTAACCCAACGATTAAGATTACTAGACACGCAGAGTTGTTTTATTTTACTTATTACTAATAAACAACGTTCCGTGCGTCTAGCAATCTCGTTTGCTGGGCTGCTCCATTTTGCAGTGCATTTGCATTTGGGGGACTAATACAGCGATTTTTAATAATTAATAACTCGTTAACTATTGCGAAAATTGAAAAGTTATAAGAAACTTTTCGATTTAGTTTAATTCGTTTTATTTATATGAAAATAAATGTTCTGGGAAATTCTCTATCAAATTTAATGTCTATATATTTTAAAGAAAGGTAAGACATAAAGAATTTTTAAAACCTTTTGATGTTTTAAGAACTGTAACAAAATTTTACAGAATTTTTATTATTCCGTACCTCTCTAAAATGTGTCTTCAAGAAATCATGTACATATATATAGTTATATGATTTATTTTGTAAAAGAATCTTGAAAAGTTCTAAAATATTGAACACTATTTAAAAAGTAAGTAAAGAGAAGTGTATTTGTTTATATGTATTCATAATAGCAGTATTTGTTACATGTAAACTATATACATATTTTTGTTAAATATACATGTAAACTTTGAGCAGTTTTCATATACATATACAGGCGCGCGCCTATTTTTACATGTATATTATCAGGAAGTTTGTTTATAAGTTAATTTTAAGTTACTTATAGATTATTTTATATATCTTATATATACTTGTTATAAAATTAATTACTAAAAGTTATACAAAATTGAAGCAAATGATAAAATATAAAAAATAAAATACGAGCTTACATATATACTCAACTTTTATAACAAAACTTTTATAACCAAACGTAACCTGTAAAGTAACTTTCCCAACTCTGTATACAGAGTGTCCCAATTCGGACGCAACTATCTGCTAAATTATTTATTATTAAAAAAATGTTTCAAGTAGAACTTGCTTTGCTTCTTCGAGGTAGACGTCTTTTGATGGTCATAGATTCTCTCGAAGAGCATGTGTTTCCAAAATATCAAAGTTACCTTTATTTTTTTTAATGGAATTACATAATTTTTTTTACATAATATGATTTCTCTAATTATTATGCATATAAAAGTATTAAGATGCGGTTATTAAAAAATTAATAGTTTACGAAATAGTTAATATTTCATGTTAATGTGTGCAAAAATAAAGTATAAAGTCTTCTTCTCTTCTCTCTCTCTTAAACTATCTCTTAAACTATATTGGTTTTTTTGGTATGTCTACCTTAATACTTTTATATGCAGAATAATTAGAGAAATCATATTATATAGAGAAAATTGTATAATTCCTTGAAAGAAAATTGTATATTTCAATTTGACATAATTGATTTAGATTAGATTAGATATAAATATAATATTAATTAAATATTGATTAGATATAAATACTAAGGATGATAAATTCCAATAAAATGAAAGGATGGAAATGTCCATTTTTAATTTGTATTATTTTTATTTCGTGTAAAAACATCCAGTGCTTAACCATAAAGAACTGTTACATAAACTAAAAAAAAAACCGCTACATAAATAATATAATTCAAGTATAAAGCGTAAAGTTTGATATGTTCATTATCATTGTTATTATTTATTAAAACTTTGTTTTATTTCACGATATTACATAATTCCTTTAAAAAAAAGAAAAATCACCTTAAAATTTTGGAGATGTCTATCTAGAGAGGATCTCTCTGGTCATCAAAAGATGTTTAAAACATTCAAAACATTTTTAAAAATAACTTAATAAATAGTTTGGGAGAAAATTGCGTCCTAAAATGGAACTATATGTGTATGTATGTATATGTATATACATATAACCCAGATAGCCAAGTCTGTAGAAAGCAGATTTTTTTTTAATGTTTGCTACACATTATGTCAACAAAATGACAACAGAATTAGATGTACATAATATTGTTGACAGACTGCTAGAAAAAACGTAACAGAATCTGTTAGCGTCAGATAATGTCGATAGGATCTGCTCAATTCTTACCAACAATTTGCTTTCACATTATGTCAACAGTGTTAATAGAACACAAGCCTAATGCGGGTGCAGTTGATAGCAAAAAGCTACCGATATTTTCTGCTCGAATGTTAGAAGACCTCAGACATTTGGCTATCTGGGTAACTTATATACTTATTAATTAACTTAATACAAGCGAAATGCTTTTCAATTAATGAATATCTCAACTTTCCATGCAAATTCCATTCTCCTTTTAAAATATTTTTATAATTGAAGGATATAAATTACAAATTGTTTTCTTTTTTATAATATTTGATAATATTTCCTTTATAAAAAATTATTTAAAAAAATATGAAATAAATATCCATAAATAAGAAATCTTATGTAAAACATAAGTATAAGATACTTATAATCTTATAAGTAATAATATAAAATACTTACCCGCTATATCTTCATTAAGGTATTTATACCCTGCTATGAATTTCTGTATTATTGTAATCATGGTGATACTGAATAACTTTGATGCTATTTTTTATGCAGTTGTTAACAAAAATCGTCATGTGATTATTGATATCACAATATTCACATAAATAATAAAAGAGAATACACATTAATTAATTACTTTTTTTCTTATCAATATATTAATAGTTCTGGTGAAAAAGCGTTTTTCAATTTAAGCTTTTTCAAGCACTTATTCTTAATTATCTTGATTTCAACAGATTAACTCAAATTTTAATGTTTTATTTGACCATTTAGGGGATACTTTTATTGATCATGTTTTTCGACATTTACTTTAACGCGACTAGTCACTACGAAGTTTGCAAATCGACTGCTGCAATGCGTTTTCTCTTTTCGCTTCATCATAATGTCAACATTTCATTGTATTATAATTATAACAGGCTTGTGTAATAAACGGCATCTTTCAAGTATTACACTGATGTTACCCTTTTTAGCTAACATGACCTCTTAGGCAACTTAACCTATCATTACAATTATGAAAAAAGAGCAATTAAATATTTATAGATGATTACATTAATAAGAGATAGAGAGAGAGAGAGAGAGAGAGAGAGAGAGAGAGAGAGAGAGTGAGAAAGGAAAGGAGGAGGGGAGAGGGAAGAAGGGAGAACCCAAGTTTGGAATTTTCATTTAAATTTCGACCTTTCACCATTTGGCGAATTTTCGATCATTCACCTTTAGTCATTTTAACCGGTTATTGATATAACAATGAATAATGCATGTCAAATATTTTGTTGTTATATTTTAATATAACAACAATATTTGATATTTATTTACATTAGTCATTAACGCTTCAATCATAAGAATAATTGAATAGAAGAGATATTAAAAACTGCATACTTTTTAAAAATAATTCCACACAAAAATAGAGTATAA